AGCTTCGAAATAGATCCATAGAATTAGCAAAGAATAGACGACCTTGGTTCACAGCATGATCTCATGGATTATCTTTAAAGGATTTTCGGACCAAGAAATTGTATATTTTTATTTTTTGAACAAGGGATTTTCATTTTTCACTGTATAGCGGATGAAGTTCTGTCAATTATTTCGGACCAAGAAATTGTATATTTTTATTTTTAGAACAAGGGATTTTCATTTTTCACTGTAAAGCGGATGAAGTTCTGTCAATTACACTGGGAATGTTGAAAATTCTTTTGATTGTATTTTAGTTGGCTAAAAACCTCCCTCTTTTCTGTTTGTAGAATTTTCATTCGACTCGATCTTGTTTGTTTATAATACTGTCGTATTTTTCTTTGGTCTTCTGCTTGTCGTCTTATATTCAACATTTTTCCTGTGTGAATGAATATAAATTTTCTAGGATATCTTATTTTTTATTTCTATTTTTCTTGTCCTCGTATGGTTGTCATGTAACTATGTTTGATATGTTAAACTAGATACGATTGAACGAGACAAATACTTATTAATCTAATGTGTTAAACATGCCATTGAAGTTGCACAAAACCTCTTATATGAGCAATAATATCTGCACAATAACATGTATGTTAGCTTGAAAAAAATTTATTAGCCCTATTTTCATAAGTAGAAGCTTATTGATTCATTGTTCCTAGTGACCAATAACATGTATCATATTTTTTATCTCTATTTTTCTTGTCCTCGTATGGTTGTCATGTAAAATATGTTTGATATGTTAAACTAGATACGATTGAACGAGACAAATACTTATTAATCTAATGTGTTAAACATGCCATTCAAGTTGCACAAAACCTCATATATGAGCAATAATATCTGCACAATAACATGTATGTTTATTTAGTGGACATGGAACAATAAATCGAAAGTTCAAACTTGTTCATAGTATTGTACAATCTTATCGAGTATAATTATCAAACGTAGTCCAGGAATAGAACTCCCTTCGTTGATTCCGTATTTTCTTCGTCTCTATTCTTGTATTGGATGTCTAGCTAATTTATGTCCCCTTCAAAATGGACTTATGCTAGTAACTATATTGACATTTATATGAAGTCTACAATTCAAAAAACAAATATTCTAAATTTAAGTTTTGTTGTCATTTTATTATCGATTTTTTTTGATAAATCTCTCTTCAAAAGGGATCAAAAAATTTTACCGTTCCCCCCAAAAAATGAATATGGTCGTGTAAAATGCTTCGGAAATTCCTGCAATTTCAATACGCTAGAAAGGGCCACGGTTTCTATTCAATTAAAGGACTTTTTTTTTTAAATTTTATTTTATGCGCTTTAATCCATAATCTAGTTTGGTCAATTATATTCTTTCTTTATTTAAGGTTATGAATTTTATTATTTAAACTAAAGTTAGGACTTGTCATTTTCTAGTGGTTTTTTGAAAATTTTAAACTTTGAATTTTTCAATTCTTCAATTCCAATTTGGATGTTATTCGAAATCAATACTTTGTTAATCAAATGGTATTCACTTATGAAAAAAAAAGGTTATATAAAGATCGGTCAAGATTACATTAACAATAAAATTCGAGAAGTTACCAAGATTCAAAAGTAAAAGGAACATGTCTAAAAATAATATTTACGACTCTATTAGCATAAACCGTTTGATACAATCTGGGACGTGACAACATGGAAATGTGGAGATAGAATAAAAGGCCATATGGAAAAACACGTTTTAAAAAATTAACCTTGGCATTCAAATTCGTTGTTAGAGTTTTAGCTTGAACTGTTCATCTGAGCTTGTTAGCTAGGCTATGATACAACTTGGATCTTGGGGTTCCATTTTATAATGTTCAACAATTACGAGTTACCATAACCATTGTGAAAGAACTACAATTTTCTAAGCCGATTATTATGACCATCATTGAACTTACTCATGGAACAGATTTATCATCTATCGAGCTTTGAGACGAGAAGATTCAATGTAGTAAAAACTTTAAATAGTTAAATTTGTTGATCGGCATGCATTACTATAGAAAAGTGCATTTGCCTACAAAAATCTACTCTATTCCCTACAGAAAATGCTCTTAAAGTATTGTCTTTCTTGTGTGATGGTGCAGAAGCCAACTTATTATTCCTAGAATCTCCAATTGGTGCTGGCTTTCCATATTCTAAAACGAGAGGCGATTATGATATTTTCAGAGATGACTTTGCCTGAAATTCAAACACCACGTTGTACTCTTATGCATGCACCAATCTCCCCAAACTCCCATATCACGAATTTGCCTTGCTCATAGGGGCATGTTGAACGCTAAATTTAGATAAATAAATGCATTTTCTCTATAACAGCATAAGCTTTTAGATTTCATACCACAGGAAATGATTCCTACGTTTTCCTGCGCAAGTGGTTCCTCAAATTTCCATCATACAGGACGCGAAATTTTTATATTGCTGGGGAGAGTTATGCGGGTATATTATCGCATGTGTTGAAGTCGTTTTCTGATTGATGGCAGCTACGAGAATATTCATGCTTACACGTATATATACTCTCAACGCTTTCGACAGGAAAATATGTTCCTGAGTTGGCTGAACTCATTCATGATAAGAACAAAGATCTCTCATTATTCATAAATCTTAAGGCATTTTCGTATAATTCTCTTCCCATTTAATTTAAGGATTGAATTCCATGGTAATTGTCCAGCCCCTATGATTTTAAATTGACAAAATGATCACAGAAGCAAATTCAAAGTGAGCCGATTTCTTTATCGCAGCTGGGCAATCCTGAAACATGCAACGCGGTGGAATGGGAAGGAAGGATTACGTGCATGGAGCCATGCTGTAGTTTCGAAACCCACAAAACAATACAGATGTCAAAGACATGGGTGGTTACGATCCGTTGTGCAATGTCTAATATTAAACTTGATGTTCAAAAGATCTTTCACGTTGGTGATGGAACTAGCCTCAAGAACTGAACGTGTGCAAGTAGGTGATTTATCCTGTTAATCGTGACATACATGATGAGAATGGATTCATAGAATCAAATAATTAAATGTAACTTTTCTAATAATTATTTCAAGTTTTTACGTGGATTATTATTCTTTGTTATTATCGTTTTTCTTTCGTAACACTCATAATCCAAAAGCAGCATGACATTCATAACTGGTCCGGTTCAAGGGCGTTGGTTCTTCCCATATACAAATACAAGAAGCTCATTGGTACAGGACTTAAGATGTGGGTTTATAGGTAGATAAGTCTCTTCTTTTATGCTCACAAATCCATAGCCAATTAGAAAGGACAGGTTCTACTTTTTCCTCTTACACCATAAAAATTAGTTCGAAAATTCATAATTCTCGAAACTTATAAGTGCATATTAAAGACAACATTTAAATAATAACGGTTTTCTTTGTTCAATCTCATGTAATATATTTTCTTTGGCAGTGGAGATACAGATACTGATGTCTACAAGATACAGCCTAAGCTCCTTGGGGCTGCCCATCACTATGGATTGGTACCATGGGAAACAGGTATTTGTAACTTGAAGGAAGCCTTAAATAAAAAGGAATAAAATTTTATTTTGGGTTCGATTTTGAGCTTTAGCTAAGACACATTTCATAGTGAATTTTAACATTTCCAATAAAATAATTCACAAGTAAATAGTATTTTTTGCCAATGAGATTATGAATAATTGTTTTTAGATGGCACAAGTCCTCGAGTTAAAAAAAAATAAAAATAGTTTGAGTGATTGTGTTATTTTTAATACTTAATTAATGTGACATAGCTTTAATTGAGAAATAACTTATGTTGTATTGTATTGTCTTGGGTTGGGTTGCGCATAAATTGGAGTATGGAGGTCTAACATTTGCAACATTCAAAGGAGCAGGTCATGCGGTACCTATATTAAAATGAAGCGAGTCCCATACATTCTTCTCATCCTTTCTTTCCCGAATTTCTCTACGGCCAGCGGACTTAAGTTTACAACTTTTGTCTAATTGTGAATGTCACATAGAACATTATCAATAGAGATAGATGGCTCCTAGTTAATATGTTAAGACCACCTCGGACAAATAATATAATTGCTTCGTTGAGTGTTACTTTTGTTGTTCCTATTTCCCCCTTTCTGGATAGTACTTGATCCATTGTGAAATGGGATTTGAGTTTATATTGGAGAAGATTGATATTTTCTAATATTTGAGTTTGTAAGAACTATTAATACGCTTAGCATCAGCTAAATTTGTTACAAACATCATATTAATTATCTTAGTTTTGTTACTGTGTATGTTGTCTTTTCATAGTTGACGTCATAAAGTAACTCGACTGTAAGAGAGCAATGGTAGCACAATAATAATCATAAAAGGTACTTTTGGACGAGCAAACCCACTCTATCCCAAGTGAGGTGTTAGGGTTTGAGTAGACTTGTTCCTTTGGAAAATGTGTTGCACAAGCCAACACGGCCAATATTCAAGTGGTGATGCTAATGTTCGCTAACGTTTTCTATGACTCGACCGCAGTCAAGTGGAAGTAGCAGGTTTAGTTGTTGCCAGAATATTACACATCAATCACAAACACGATTAACAAAGATACATGGAGAAATGCATAATGATATGAATAGAATATAAAATGTTGATATGATGTTACAAGCTCCTGATAATGATACAGATCTCATCAGAAAATTTGACTAAACCAAAAAATGCTAAAAATAGAAATTCAAGAACGTGTGGTAAAGAAAAGTTTGCATGCAGAAAAGTACTAGGAATTAAATACTGATGACAAAATTTTTATAATTGTCGCCGGTATTGTATCGTAACTGAGAATCCAAATTTTCTGGTCTCATCTGTTTGATCCCAGAGAGAGAGAGAGAGATTTTCTTGAATAATTCAACATTACAAATACAGTATAAAATAAACAATTTGAATTGACTATGACAAGGATCTTGAATATTGAAAATATATTCATGAAAGAATAATGAATGTGTTAGAAAGAAAATGAATAAAATTAGAGCTAATTATAATAATTTATCTTCTTCTTCTTCTTCAAGAAATATTTCTCCTTTTCTACTTCATGCAAATTCTTGATGACTGCATCCGAAGCACTGTCAAGTAATTCCGGCCAATCCCTGCATTCATATTATCAAATTACAATGTGAATATATTAGTGATTATGGTTGTGATCAAGAAGATGTAAAAGCTACGTACTACTCGACTAAGAAAATTATTCACGAGTAAAGTGCTAAACTTACCCTCTCAAAGTATCGAATGTTAGTCCAACGGTGTGCTTTGCCTCTTCAAGGGCCAATTGAAACCTGTCCAAATCCTTAGTTGGACAAATTCCATCATCTTTAACCCGAAGTTCAGAAGGTTTTACATCACAAAAAATTGGTATAACCCTCTTCTTGCACTCCATCATAAGGGCCAATTCATGCAGACAAAAATAAGAGTCACAATATTGGGGAGAAAACACAGCAACCCCAATCTTACATTTATGAATTGCCACGTTAATATTATCGAACAATTTGTCCCCAGGTTTCATGTTCTTGCTGTCCAAGAAAGGCCTGAAGCCGAGCCACCGGAGGTGATCGTAAAGCAANAACAACTCGACTATACAAAATTGATTGATATTTTTGCATTGAAAACTGCAAGACGAGTTATATTTAAGTGATCGGTTAGAACATCTTTGTATTGTTATTTGATTGCAAAATAAATATTTTGAATATTTTAGTTTTATTTGTCACTTTATTGTTGAATTTAAGTTAACAAATTTAGTTATGTAAGACTTTTTTAGAAGAAAAAAAGGATTGTCTGCTATGACTTAGGGGTCCAAAGTTTGAAGTTCGCCTCAGGCCCAGCGAAACACAGGTACGGCCCTGCTGATAATGATACAAATCTCATCAGAAAATTTGACTTAACCAAAAAATGCTAAAAATAGAAATTCAAGAACATGTGGTAAAAAAAAGTTTGCATGCAGAAAATTACTAAGAATTAAATACTAATGACAAAATTTTTATAATTGTCGCCAGTATTGTATAGTAGCTGAGAGTCCAAATTTCCTGTCTCATCTGTTTGACCAGAAGGAAGGGAGAGAGAAAAGAGAGTTTCTTGAATAATTCAACATTGCGGATACAGTATAAAATAAACAATTTGAATTGACTATGACAAGGATCAAATATTGAAAATATATTCATGAAAGAATAATGAATTTGTTAGAATGAAAATGAATAAAATAATGAATAAAATTAGAGCTAATTATAATAATTTCTCTTCTTCTTCATCAAGAAATATTTCTCCTTTTCTACTTCATGCAAATTCTTTATGACTGCATCCAAAGCACTGTCAAGAAATTCCGGCCAATCCCTGTGTTCATATTATCAAATTACAATGTAACTTTATTAGTGAATATGGTTGTGATCAAGAAGATGTAAACGCTACATACTACTTGACTAAGAAAATTATTTACGAGTAAAGTGCTAAACTCACCCTCTCAAAGTATCGAATGTTAGTCCAACGGTGTGCTTTGCCTCTTCAAGGGCCAATTGAAACTTGTCCAAATCCTTAGTTGAACAAATTCCATCATCTTTAACCCGAAGTTCAGAAGGTTTTACATCACAGAAAACTGGTATAACCTTCTTCTTGCACTCCATCATAAGGGCCAATTCATGCAGACAAAAATAAGAGTCACAATATTGGGGAGAAAACACAGCAACCCCAATCTTACATTTATGAATTGCCACGTTAATATTATCGAACAATTTGTCCCCAGGTTTCATGTTCTTGCTGTCCAAGAAAGGCCTGAAGCCGAGCCACCGGAGGTGATCGTAAAGCAACCCGGCAACATTCCTTTTCGTGTCAATCCCCCGGTGGTTGATGAACACGTCACACGGTGGCCGTTGACGAAGGCTTGTTTTGGTATGAGTTTGGTTGCGAAGGATCTGATTGCATACGTATCGAGCTGTGGATGAGCGTTGCATGCCTTCGAGACAAAGATGCTTTATTAATTCGTTTGATTCGAATAGTTTAAGTTCGGACCTATATAATGCTACGAATAGTTTAAGTTCGGACCTATATTATGCTACACAGAGTATTTATAAGATGAGATTTGCATAGATTCAGACCAATTTATGTTTGATATTTGAATAGAATGAAGTTTGTAAAAATCAGAATGTTGGACTATAGGATCACACTCGGTATTTGTTTTGAAAAAGACATAGGAAAAGGGGAAAACTTTTTGAATGATTTCTCTCTATGCGTATTAGATAGTGTATTCAATCCTTCAAACACGTTTAGTAATAATTAATTTTATATTCAAATAAGGAATCGTTCCTCCTACTCATTAATTTGACAAATAAGTGTGTCAAATTAATGAGTAGGAGGAACGGTCTCGATTCAAATATACATATCCACCTTCTATAAGTAGTATCACACGAGATAATATGTAAGATATTATGTTTTGTTTGATCTACGTTCTTCCCAAAATTCATTCTTTCAATACTCATTTTTAATTACACATTCTTTAATAAAATAATATTATACGTAAATTCAAAATATTTCCTTATTTTTTAACCACATATTTTCTATCGCATCACATCACATCATAAAATGCATTTTTTCTCAATAATGTGTATCAAACATCCCATAATACTGTCAAATCGAGAAATGTCCAATCATATAATATTGTGTTTTTGTATTTTATGTAAGATTTTATGTTTTGTTTTCATATTAAGCCCTTTCGATACACATTCTTTCTCAAAATTCATTCTTTCCATACTCATTTTCAACCATACATTCTTCAATAAAATAATATTACACGTAAATCCTAAACTTTTCCTTATTTTTTTAACCACATATTTTCTATCACGTCACATCATAAAATTCATTTTCTTCTCAATAATGTACATCAAACACCCCCTAATACTGTCAAATTGAGAAATGTTCAATCATAATATCATATAATATTGTGTTTTTGTGTTAAGAATGATCTTTTCGGATGTGATACAATAAAAGGAATTCAATTTCAATTTGAACAAAAAATTAACAGATTCAACTATATCGAAATAAATGTAGGGACTGAAATATTGTTCGTATTTCTAAGACTAAACAAAAAGATTCACAATGTTTTTATCATTTCTTCATAAAAAAAAAAAAAAGAAAAAGAAACTAATTTTTGGGTAATCGTAATCGTCGAGAAGTTAGATTCTTTGAATCTTTTATAGGCGTAACAATAAATTTAAAAAAAAAACAAAAAACAAGTGATGGTTCTAAATTTATTGAAAATGAAGTCTAGTTTGTAATCATTTTTGGATATTTGATTTAGTTTTTTTTTTCCCCTTCAAATTTATTATTTTCTTTCCATTTCTATTAGGATTTGTCACGTGATAATTCCAAAATACAATGCAAAATTGTTTTGACATATGTCAAAAATAATTAATATTCATCAAAATCAAACAAAGTTTTTGTTTATTCTTTGAATTCGAATTCAGCTGAAGAATCAAAGTCTCTCTTCAGTCATACAGTAGATTGGAACTTTTTAGTTTATTAATTTACTGAATAAATAATTAAAGACGCGACTATTGAACGACACTCTCACGACAGCTAGCAATGCATTCTTAAATGCGACTTTGATTATGACAGTCATTGAAAAGATCTACCTTTTAATATGTTTTAATAATTCAAATATAAGTCTTTTTCTGAATCGTTATTATCAACAATGTAACTTTATATGGTTTTGGGGTTAGGAGTTTTATATTCTCTACTTACGCGTAATTGTAATGGATAAAAGATTATCGAGTTGACTCTTTTCATCACTTAAATTATAAAGATATTCGATAATCCTGAGTCCCTACTTTTCCAAATTCTCACCATCGACTCTTCGTCGATTATGGAATTTGTCTGCATATCGAATGTATAATGCTTTTTTTCTTTATTTTTATTACAAATTTTTAGTTATTCATTTCATCGTCGAGCTATTTTCTTTGTTTGCGTAAATAAAAATAAAGAAAGAACGTATAAAAGAAAAGGATCTTTTGCTCGTCAAATTGCTTAAGGCTCTGTTTGGAATTGATTTAAGAGCTCAAATTTATAATTGTCAGTCAATCAAAATTTGTTTTAGGTGTTTGGTAAATTTTAAAAAAATGATTATAAAAGAATCTGTACAATCTAGAAGAAGATTTTGAGAAATAATTAATTCATATTCATTAAAATTTTGGTCAAGTATTTCATATAAATTCATATTCAAATTCAACTATTAAATTATTAAAAAATCAGTTTGGTAATTTAATTAATTCATATTCAACAATACCTTTTGATTGGTAACTTTATAAATTGACACTTAAATAGCCAAAAAAAAAAATTGAATTTAAAATAATTAAGTGAATACACGGCCTCAAAAAATATTTGATAATATTATTTATTATAATAAAATAAAAATATATATTATAATAATACTAATGTTAATAATATAAAATACAAAAAAAATCATTATAATCACTATCCCTCTTGATAAATATTTTATTTTTGTTTAGCGCGATTGAAAATGAATTTGGAAGAAAATGAGTTTTTGAAAAATGAGACTCCAATAAGTGTTTATTCTGTTAAAAGCATAGCAATATCAAACTAACTTTAAACGAAAAGTTTGGTGTTTTTAATGTTGAATGACTCATGCTCGTTAATTATAATACTAGGAATTTTGATAGTTCCTCTTGGAAACCCTAGGTTCCCCCTATGTACACCGGTCTTTCTACTGTTGGGATATTGCTCTCGCAATATATTAAAATTATGATAATAAAACCGTTTAACATTGTCACTTTTAGCCCCTATTTTTCCTAACCAAACGAACTTCTATCATGTGTATTGATGGAAAGCTTCTTAACTTCTTAGAAAAGCTCTTCGTGAAGTGAAGATGAAAATTATGAAATTTATGTTTTCGAGTGATGCTTTTAATGTGAAAATGATTTTGAATTATGTTGAATAATAAATAAATTAATGCTCTCATTAATAATTTTAGTGCTCAAATGAATTGGTTAGAATTTTCTTACTAAATTAAACACCTTTGTTTTTTTTAAGTCTTGAAGGAGTTGGATATATACTTCAAATTAATGTTAAGGGAAAATCTACTTTCTCAGTATGTATTTATGATTTTTCCCATTGTTTATTTTCAATGGTTTCCCTCCAAATTATTATTTTCATCCATTTCCTTTATATATAATTGGCTAAATGGAGCATTGAAAATTGAAATATTTTGAATATATTTAAAGGTTGACTCCTTAAAATAGAAAGCATTTTGCTTTTAAATAATCTCTTCGTGAATACGCTCTTATAGAAACGTAATAATTAGGGCAATGTCCATCATATATGAATTTGAAATCAATAACCAATGTATTAACTATTAGGGAAAATGCATATGTATAGAAAAAATTTCACAGAATTCTACCAGATGTGTCACATGGATATGAGTTTCATTGTCAATAAAATATTCGAAAAAAAAAGTGGGTCCCACGTGTTGTGTGTGGTCTGTAAATTTGACAAAAAAAATTTTGTACACCAAGAATTGTTCTAACTATTAAGGATTTGGACTACTCATTTTACAAGATTAATCTACTAATCTTAACTTCCTACACGTGCCTATTAATTTTTTCACCTAAATATCCTATTCAAATGAAGAAAATAACGATTAAGATTATCATTTGTATAGTCCAAGCCATTCTTTCATCATAATCAACACGATTATATTAGAAGTTTCTTTCTAATTTCTTTATACGTGTGTGTGTGTGAGAGAGAGAGAGAGAGAACTGGTCCATATTTTTACTTGGTCAATTTTTTAGATTTTTTAAAAATGCTTATGTTCAATTAATAATTTGGAAAGTTGGAAATGAAAATTATGCATGGGAGACTCAAAAGTGAGTAAAAATCTGGTTCAGAAGAGGGAAAAGTGGCATTTGACTTGGTTTAAGATGGAAAAAAGGGAACCCATTATCTCTTGAAAAGTGAACTGGTCGTAGGATATCACGAAATTTTATTGGAAGCATCCCCGAATTGTCTTTTAGAGGACAGAGGGTGCATACTTTCGTACCCCATTTTGTGATCAAAATTAATTTATTTGAACAGCAAGAAAATGAAAAAAAAAACAATTTTAATCCAACCAAGAATTTTTTGTTTTTTTTTTGTCAATTCTAATTCTTTATGAAAGTAAAATAATTTATAGCCCCCAAACCCCACCCATACTCGTCTGCTCCCCTACCCCTCGTGTCTCGCTCTCCCACCCTGTTGGTTTTGTCCATTTCAATTGCCTAGTCTCTGGAGTAGGGATGGCAAAAAAACCCGACAAACCCGATACCCGCGGGGACCCGCCCCGAATGGAGAGAGGAAAACCCGCTTAAACGGGTATTTTAGATTTTTTAAAAATGCTTATATTCAATTAATAATTTGGAAAGTTGGAAATGAAAATTATGCATGGGAGACTCAAAAGTGAGTAAAAATCTGGTTCAGAAGAGGGAAAAGTGGCATTTGACTTGGTTTAAAGATGGAAAAATGGGAACCCATTATCTCTTGAAAAGTGAACTGGTCGTAGGATATCACGAAATTTTATTGGAAGCATCCCGAATTGTCTTTTAGAGGACAGAGGGTGCATACTTTCGTACCCCATTTTGTAATCAAAATTAAGTTATTTGAACAGCAAGAAAATGAAGAAAACAACAACTTTAATCCAACCAAGAATTTTTTGTTTTTTTTTGTCAATTCTAATTCTTTATGAAAGTAAAATAATTTATAGCCCCCAAACCCCACCCATACTCGTCTGCTTCCCTACCCCACGTGTCTCGCTCTCCCACCCTGTTGGTTTGTCCATTTCAATTGCCTAGTCTCTGGAGTTTTATCATGCCCCCACTTTCATGACTCGACCGCCTTGCTTTCTCCTAACAATCATGCTATTTGTGCAATTTTTTTTTTTTTATAATCTTGATTAACAACTCATACTTGACAACATTACGCTCATCCATTTTAAAAATTGTTTTTTAAATCAATGATCCAAATTCTGACAACGCCAATATTATCAACAACAATTGTAAAAATAGGTTAATTCTTCTCCCAACCCTCCACACCCCACCTAGGATGGCGGCTTGGTGGAAATTGGGAGAGGGGCAACTACAATGCATCATAGTTTGACTAATAATGTCAAAAATAGTGGTGTCCATCATCTTGAAATTCAAGTTTTACGTAACAATTTTGTTTATTACATTGTCCACTAACACACGCTTAAAGCATGTCGAAATATCAGGAAATCCCGGCTGTAATCCATTTCTGGTTTCTTGTGGTTAAACAGATGTTGAAAATTCTTATTGTGGACATTTGAATTCTTGAAACACATACCATTTAAGGAAATTAAGTGCGATTTTCTTAACAGACCCAAAACATTGACCACTTCACTTTCCAATATGTAATTATTCAAAAAGGACATATCAAAAAATGTTTCAAAATTGTGTCATGTGATTAGAAATAACCGTAAACCATTTGAATAAATTTCAAACTCCTTGTTGAAGAAGAAATAGTAGAAAATAATCATATAGAATCATGTGATATGGGGCAGCTAACTTGGGAAAGAATATGAGAATTCAGAATACGATTCCTGGCTTTATATTATTCGGTTCCTGTCTTCAAGGGCAAGCAAGCAATACATCGTGTAATAAATTAACTTTCAGTTTGTATTTTTTTTATTTTTACTTTATATTCTTTGATGATTATGGATCAAAATAATTGGTGGGGAAGTTTTCGTGTTTATATAAAGTAAGTTACATCAAATAATTGAAAAGCATTTTAGAGTGAAAATAAGAATTCCGAGCTAACGAGTGGCATATCTCGAGGCTTTCGAATTGGTGAGTTTGATTTCATACTAAAGATTACATTTTTATACATTTAAGATATTCAATTCACCACAAGTTTAAACATGTAATTGAATATCAACTTATTTCAATATATTAAAGCAAAATTCAAATAAATACGTAAAAAATTTCACCATCTAATAGTTTAAGTTTCAAAGGCGCTGATATAGGAGGGTTCGAGTCAGATGCTGAGTTGTCAAATAACAAGTTAATGACTCTAAAGTATCACGAGTTAACAAATCGGCGCAAGGATGGCAAGTGATCGCGTAACTTTGGTAATTGAGTCGCGTTTCGGTAATTTGACCATAACTTTGGCTATGATTATCGGAATCGCGATTGTGACCACAATCCGAAAAATTTCTTTTGGCGCGCACGTTGTAGCTACCCATCTTTACTCGATGTGTGACATTTTCAGCCTCAAATTCCGCTATTTTCCCTTTCGAATTGTTATTTTTAGTTAAGTTTTGCTATATTTGTTAATATTTCGATTGCATGTTAGGAGATGATTTTTATTCCGTATTTTTGTTTGATGTGATTTTTGAAATTTTGCCATTTTTGGTAAATTTTGAATTTTTGCCATAAAGTCTAATTTGTGGACTTATTTTGATTATTGGGTGATATAATAAAATTCTTCAAACTTCTGAGACGTTTCCTCTGTATTTTCAACGTTAATCTTGTGTTCTTCCATGTGAATTTATTGGTAGAACTAGCCTGCAGAATAATCATTATTCTGCCCGACGTCAGACGTTCAATATGATATCAAAACAAATGAAGGTTTCGAGCCCCTGACACATAAAAAAAAGTAAAGAAAGAAAAAGGAATTTAGTTTTATTTTAAGCCATTCATGCATTATTTTCGTCTCCAAATTTTCATTGTTAGTGACGAGACGTGCTAAAGATATTAATAAAAATGTATATCCTCGCTAATAATTCGATTTTTAATATGATGGCAAGACGGACAGAATCTCGAGAAAACACAAAAATCTAGAATTCATATGAAAGAAAATTAAATGGAAAATGGTGAGAAATTAAGAAATTATTAATGGTAGAGAGACATGGACAGTCCAACCAACATGTTCCCTTAATTAATATCACTTTTGATGCATTTATCTCTCATGATTAGTCAATTATATATTTGATTTTCACTTTTGTGCATGAAATTTATATATCAATAAGCATAATAATTAAGTTGTGTAATTAGTAATTAATTATTAGTTCATTGTAAGCTCGATGATAGCACGTAAATTTACCATTGGTCCTAAATCTATTGTTCAAGTAGCCGATTGATCATCAAGATTTCATTGTAGTTACACAATGTCAAATACTTATATTTATTATCTTTGAAGTTATATTTGTTACGTGTGCATAGAAATTAAGAAAACTGCAGTATCCTTAAAAAGAAGCAAGTGATCGTCAATCCTTCACCATAATTGCAATATTAATTTTGAGCGACGAAACTCATCAAATTTTCAATTAGGTCATCATGTACCCATGTGGAAACACAATCCATTTTAGAATCTAAACAAAAGTTTACGTTAAAATGATAATTGAAAAACTTATTTCGTAAAACTGAACATGTAATGTTATGAACTTGTTATTTAGACAATAAAATGGGGGACCAACAGTGCAATTCCTACAAATTTGAAGTACGGCCTGTTCGTGTGGGTTGCACGATGATCTAATGAAGATTTGAACGGGTCGCTCTCGGACAGTTATACAACTATAGTAAAAACTCGAGGACTAACTTTTTAGTTTTCAAAGATTTTTTTATCAGCTTGAGATCAATGATGCAATTTTCTCTAATAATCCTAATAATTAGGGGGTGTAGGTCCTGTAGGATGGATAAGGGAGCCCACACCATATTATCACAAAATTTTCTCTCACACACACCACTCACAGATGCGCACAGTCCCCATGTGGCTCTATCAGTTCTTGCTGGCTCTTTCTCATGTCCAGTTAAGCAAAACAAAAGTTTTGCAAATGTCACGTTCAAACAATTACCCACCAATATAATTTGAAATATTTTCCTCTCCATCTCTCTTCCTGTCTCTGACTATGGATTCCAAGGCCCTTCTTGATTATGCTCTGTTCCAACTCACCCCAACAAGAACAAGGTATATTTCTTGAATGTGTATGTATGATTATGTCTATTCTTGAATCTATGAATGAGGTTCAGATACTGATAACGTGCTTTATTCTTGCTTATGGGTTTTGCTTGGAATTGGAAAAGATGCGATCTTGTGGTGTTTTCTGGGAAGAAAAATGAGAAATTAGCTTCTGGGCTAGTGGAACCCTTCATTTCTCACTTGAAATATGCTAAAGATCAGATTCCAAAAGGTGGGTATTCAATTACTCTGCGTCCACCTGTTGATGCTCCATGGTTCACCAAATCCACGTTTCAAAGGTAACATAACAAAATCTGATCTTAGTTTTCAATCTTGATTTTATCTGTTATTCAGTCTTGGATTCCATTTTAAATGGTCGAACTTTAGCGCATCATTAACAAGATAATGGCTTACTCGAGATCGCTAATCTTAAAATCCGATTGCAAATGGATCATTTCAGCTTTTGGGGCTACGATATCCAAGTCTTTATTACGTAATTTCTTTATCATTGTTGTTGCCAAAGTTGTGAAATTAATTTGTTTTTCATTCTGATCTTTTTCCACTTATCTGAATGGTGAAACATAGATCCTCTTGTCTGGGTAGAAGTAGTGATTTTACTCGAATTTTATTGCTGTAATGAGATAAAAAATATAACGGTTGAAATCTAGAAGATAGGATTTATACCAAGTTACAATCCAGGAGAAGGATTCAGTCATTACTGAGATTTGAAAATTTGGCCGATATAAGAGATAATTTACTTACACATTTTTTGTCCATCAATGGCAGATTCGTGCGATTTGTGAGTACACCTGAAATTCTTGAGAGGATGATAAGAATAGAACGAGAAATTTCACAGATAGAGAGTTCAATTCAATCTAATGAAATTTCAAACACTGATGTAGCAGGACACATCGAGGAAGGTATGATTTGAACATCCTCTTAAGAGAATTTATAGTATGCATGCATACATCCATGAATGAAGAGAAGAATCACAGTAATAGTGTCACAATGCTGTACAAAATCATATTATAGCTCAAGAAAATTTTACGTATACATGCACATTCTCATCAATGTTGCATGTGGTAGAAATATAATGTTTTTTGGCAAATCACGGGATCAAGTTTTATAAGTCTGATTTGTAATGAATCAGCATAATGTTGTCTTTTGAATGCTATGTTTCTTTGTTCACTTCGGCTACTTGTGTTATTAGGAAACTTGTCAACTGCTGATGGGATCACAAAGAGCTCAAGGGATTCCTTGAGGGTATTTTATTTAAACAGTTGAATGTTGATAATTTCTTTGTTAAAATCATTGCCTGACTCGAATTACTATTTTGATGGTTCTTTTAGTTAACCGACGAAGATGGAGTTGATGGGAGTGCAGTGGAAGAAAATTCCAAGTAAATGATCTTGCACTTCTTACATCATGAATACTATCTTTATTTCATTCCTCAGATAGTTGATTTATTAAGTTGTTTGTTCTGAGAAGGTTTTGTCTGCAACGTATTATGGATACTCGAAAAGCATTACTTCAAAAAGAGCAAGCCATGGCTTATGCCCGTGCTGTCGTGGCAGGATTTGAAATTGATACCATTGATGATCTTATAAGCTTTGCTGACACATTTGGAGCCTCACGATTAAGGTATGACGTATTTTAGTCTTTTATCCATATTATGCAATCTTTTAAGTCTAAATATCTCAAAAATTTAAACTTCTATATCTGACTGAAGTTTAACAATGAACAAATACTGGACAGTTTCATTACTAAAATCTAAGCATCCTATTTAAGGTATATTGTCCAAATCGCCCATTCTCGTCAAGAGACCAGCTGAACGGAAGTTGTGACTATCATGATCAACAAATTGTAATTTTTCCACTCGTAGAGGGTTATTCTTAGATAATTCTGCAGTGCGTTTTGATAATGATATTCTTCCCTCTAATCATATTTCATCTCTTCTTTATGTAAGATGCAAATGGTATACTTAGACAAAAATTTGTTATGTAGAGTGGCATGCACTGATTTCAAGGAGCTTTACAAGAAAAAGCATTCGGACAACCAATGGATGGATGAATTAGCAGCAGTTCAAGCATGCTCCATTCCTGATCTGTCGTACATGGTGACGTCTGGAATTATGGTAGCCGGTGAAAAAAATCTCGGTAGTGGGAACTCTGAGGGTCCGTTTGGGTATAATGGCTCTATGGAATCTACTACAACAAATTCAGATGGTGGCAAAGGTACATTTTCCTTGATTTCACCCAATTAACCATCTACTTTGCATGTTTTTTCGTGGATCAACGAAGAACACCGCGTTCTTAACAGACTGGAACTTCAGTCAAACTCCCTCTTTCTTCAGAACTCTGACCAAAGGAAAAGCAGTTTGGTATTTGGATTATAGAAATGATGTTTTTCTCACCAAAACAATCAAACTAGATGAACGTTGAAAGATAGAATCGAATGATCTCTTACAGATGAAGCTCTCTCAATGTTCAACCTCACCAATTTTCGTACAAATGTGTTTTGGTATATATAGGTAGGTTAGAAAAGCGAATGGACCGAGTAAAAAACTTTTAAATCGCGAAATAAAAATTTTCCGGATAACCACTTCGCTTGAGCGAGGGCTCAGCGAAGGTCGAGCGACACTATGTTGCTCGAGTAAGGAAGGAGCGACAGTACAGCGACAATGTTTCTGCTTTTGTAGCTCGAGTCAAACATTGGCGACAGTCTAACGAAAATCCACGCCGTTTTTCATCTTTTTGCCATTCTCGAACCCTAGACTTAACAACCATATTTTCAACTATTTGCACATTAATCCTTGACTTTTTAAACATACTACAATTCAGTCCTTTTGTTTATAGAATTGCCAATTACAAAACATCTAAAACCTAACAAAAAGGAATTTAAGTTTTTCCAACTGGTCAAGGAAATTGTTGAAACATCTTATCTAAAAGTTTAAGTTGTTGAAGATGGCAACATGTATATCATTTTAAATCTTGTCTTCAACATGCCGTCATGTGCAGTTTGGATTTACTTATGCCGTCAAACACGTGCATAATTTCATTAAATGGGTGGCAGTGGAGACGAGACCCGAACTTCAAATATTATGTTGAACCACAATCTGAAAGCTTAAACGGTTACAGATGGCTATATATATCATTTATATCTTGTATTCATTAGAATAACAAGAGATCGTTAAGAAATAATTAGAAACATCTGTCTGACTTGCATTATAGAACATTTGTTTATTGTCAAATCTCTATCTTACAGCCTATATCTCCAGTAGACATTTGGCATATTCTAATCTTTAAGTATTTCCGGCAGAAAGTAAGCCTGCTTCCGATCAGACATCATCAACTTCAGCTAAAGTACAGTTACAGGTGCCATGGATGGATGGTATTCCTCCGTATGCGTACAACTTTCAAAACCCTACTCAACAATGCCAAGGATATCCTTTCCCGGGCATGCATCACATGCTACCTTATTATCCTGGGCATATGGGATGGCCTCAAAATGTGAATGGTTCTCCAAATGGCATTATTCAACAGTCTAACGGTCATCAAAATGAAAAGTCATCTCAGAGAAAGGAGAAACATTTAGATGCGAATGAAGCAGAAACCACTGAAGAGGATGAACAAAATGAATCTATTGGCTCTTATTCCGGGACAGATTCAGATGAAAGTAAAAAGCATGGCAAGAAGCATTCTTCAAAGGGGCAACCGCATGTTAAAAAGCACAAGAAAAAGTCCTCAAAAACAGTTGTAATTCGTAACATAAACTATATAACTTCCAGGAGGCACAATGAAGAAGAGGATGGAGTCTCTGATGATTCTTCAGCACTTGATGAAGCTTCCATCAGAGAGGGGGTGGACAATGCAATTGCATCATTGGAGAAACATTCTCACTCAAAAACTCATAAGAATAGAGGACATCGAGGCTCCCATTCTCAAAATGGATCTATTGATAATGCCGAGCAAGATTTTAAGAATGATGTTGAATCAAGTATTTCCGATAGAGTGGAAAAAAATGGTAGCTGGGACGCCCTTCAGAATCTTCTCCTGAATCACGAGGAGTCAACTCCTAATTGCTCGCAGAATGATTACGTTATGAATTATCTGGATCCTCTAGATTTCAAGTCTGAGAAAATTAAGAAACAACCTTTGATCACTGACGATGCTATTCTTGTGATTCAGAGAAATGGAGAGAATGGAAGAGATGACGTCGTAGATTTTACAAATGGTGAAAATACGCACCCAATGGTGAAGAGAACTGTTTCTGAAGATGAGAATGCATTGTATTTGCAAAGATCTGAAGAATCAAGGCCGAATTCACTCAGGGCCCCATCTGATTTTGCTGCAGAAACATCCACTATTAGAAACCGGAAGGCGGAAGATTGGTTTGTTAAATCTTTTGGAGCTTCAGAGCAAATGGAATTCGACAATCTTGGCAATATGCCCTATGAGGGGAACTTTGTTCGCAAAGAATCAACCCAAAAAACTGCTTTGGCCGACGATTCCATTATTATAGAGTCTAGACCAGCAGTATATGATCAGTATGATTCTTCCTGGAGAACTGATATGAGCATGGTCGAGGACGTAAATATGGCTACACAGACTGAAAATAAAAATTCAAATGTTCCACAGGAAATACCCAAGCAAGCCGAGCCTGATGAACTCTGCATGGTACTTGTAAGGGAGTCACGTGATTCCATGGGGGAAACCTGGACTCCGGAAATGGATTATGAAGCGGAAATTTCATTTGCAGAGGCTGATAGAAGATCTTCTCTAGTTAAAGAAAATGCTCATGTAGAAGAAAATCCTCTTGTCAATGGTAAAAGCGCCAGTAGCAAGAAAACTGCGGGTCCAACTACGAAGAATCTAGGAAGGGACGTGAAATCTAAAGTTATGGCGGGATCCCCTGCTAAGAACAAGCCCGATACCTTATCAAAGAACAAGATGACGTCTTCTGCAAGTAGGTTGATGGGTCATAAGAGCAAGTTAGAGAAGGTATGAATATCTTTTGTTATCCGGTTATTTATGAACATTCTGTCCTCATTTTTTCTGTTCTCAATAATATTCATGCATTTCTTTTGCAGGAAGATGATGTTCGTAAGAGAATGGAAGAATTACTGATTCAACGGCAGAAGAGAATTGCTGAAAGAACAGCTGCTTCTGGCACGACTCCTGCATCTAAGAAAAGCCCAGTTGGAAGCAAAACAGCTCCTTCAATGCTCGAGAAACATCGGTCTAAATCAATGGTCCGCTAGGTGAAATTGTGTATACTCCAAAGAAAATTGGTCCCAAGAAATTCATGTCAAAGATAGTATCGTGAAGCAACAAGTTGAGACGAGAGTATTTCAAGCCTTTGTACAGTATTGATTATGGTTCTTTCCTCAAACCGTATATTCATCATAAGCAATGCGTTTCATCAGAAAAATAAGTTTGATGTTATTAATTATCAGATGTTTCCCCATAGTGTCATAAGGAAGCTTTTTCTTCTCAAATTTATATAAGATGTATGTACAAGTTTTGTAGAGATTGTCTGTCCCATTTCTATGCTATAATGATATTTCAAATAACATTTTATTCCTTTCCTATTGAATTATTGATTTGATGTTTCTTTCAATGAGGCTATTATTTTAGCTCTGAAACCCTATTCCATTATGATATTGAAATGTTCATTTTGTTCACCGATGATCAGGTGGTGTTTTAGCATATGAATACTGATGTACAAAAGAATACACACCTAAGCTGATGCTGGGGTTGATCATTGGAGGCCCTTCGACGCTCAAGTAAGCCAGAAATTTGAGCATGATACACAAAATCCTGATAGAACAGAACTCACTACTAACTGAAGTGCAAACCCAGCTTAATAATTGCGTAATACCATATAATATTATAGTTTATACAGTATCCTTGTAGTCAAAAGCACAGGAATGCAAGGTCATCAAGCCATGAAGGGAAAGTGATTACAGTAGACTGACCAAAAGCACAACCACCATAACATACACGATTTATCAGTGCAGTAAAGCAACAACCGTATAGGCTGCAGAACGACAAGCACTACCATAACTCAAACGCCCTTGGCGTACCATCTTCAGAAGTTGCAAGAGACAACTCAAAACTTGAAATCCTTCTTCTTTGATTTGCCCTCTTTTTCCTGCATCTTTCTTTTCCTTTTCTTCTCATTCTGTTCAATTTGATTATGTTATAAGTTTTTCCTTGAGGGGGTTTGGGGTGGGAAATGAGGCACTGGAAAATGAACAGTTGCAAGAAGCACGTACCTCAGCAACCATGTCACTGAAATCCTCCCGCTGAGTTCGCAACTTTTCTTCTTCTCTGGCTTCCTCGTACCTGGGGAATACATGACATGGTAATAAGCCATCGTCCATCACGTGGTAATTCTCTCTATCAATGATATGATTTCAAAAAAGTACAAGACTTACTTGGCAGGCAAAACATTGTCCATCAGTTCCAACTCTTCTGGTGCTAGTGTGACATCAACTCTGTCTGATTTCTGACCCCTAAGCAAATCAACCTAAGAGGAATAAACAGTAAAAGAAAGATCATCATGTCTATTGTATTAGTCTCCGTTCGGCAAATTTATAAATGGGTTATAAAGAGGAATAATAATAGGAATATTAGTGGGTCGGGGTGGATAAAATGACCAAACCAAACAAGACCAAACTAGAACCAACCCAAACCGAACGGTACGGTTCAACAAAAAAAAAATTAATGGTTCTGGTTCTTAGAGCTGAAAACCATTTGGTTCTGATTTTAATTCGGGAACCAAGAGCCAAACTCAATATTTAAATTTTATTATTTTATATATATGTACAAATTATTGAATCACAATTCACACCAAAAAACTCAAAATTCAATTGAAAGTCAGAACAAAAAGGTCATGTATCTTCGATTTCTCATTTTTCAATGTGGAGACTGGAGGCCCTAATTCATTTTGGAGACTCGGACCTTAATTCTTTTCTCATTTTCTTGAATTTTTAATTTTATACACTAACTATCAAATGGAGGTCAACAACTACCACATATCGTCTATTGTTGCGCTCAACTAACCAAAAACCAAACTCAATATTTAAATTTTATTATTTTATATATATTTATAAATTAGTGAATCATAATTCTCACCAAAAAATTCAAAATTCAATTGAAAATCAGGACAAAAAGGTCATGCACCGTCAATTTCTCATTCTCAATGTGGAGACTAGAGACCTTAATTCATTTCGGAGACACAGACCTTAATCCATTTATCATTCTCTCTCCTTTTTAATTTATACACTAACTCTCAAATGGAGATTAACAACTACCACCTACCTTCTACCGTCGCGCTCAGTTACCATCGTCGCATGGATTTTTGAAATGAAGCATCAACCTTTGATTCTTCTCCTCAAATGTTATTATTGTCAATCGGTAATGAAACTAGAACCAAACCAAGCCATAAACGAATAGTTAGGTTCCGATTTGGTTCCATATCTTTAAAAAACCATTTAGTTCCATTATAAATAAATTAAAAAAAAAAAACATTGGTTCGTGATTCGGTTCGATTCTCTTGGAACCAGAACTAGAACCAAATGAAATCATGTCCACCCCTATTAGTGGGTACCACGAAATGTGTGGATAATAACTAGTCGTTATGAATGTGTGATTGAAATTAATATTTAACTTTGACTAAATTTATAAACCATTTATAAATTGGTATCCAAAGGGAGGCTTAATCTGCAACAGAACATCTATTCAGTTATTTTATAACTTGCCAGTGACTAATGATTCATGAAACCCAATATACGAAACAAAAAGTGATGTAGAAACTGCAGATCTAATCATTTTGAATTTCATAGGTCAAAAATAATTAATTAGGTATGAACTTGCAACTCCAATATCTGTGCATGCATTTTGTCCAGAAGGATTAAAAATTGTTTCTGCGACAGAAAACTTGTCAGGTGGAATTATGAAAGCAATCAACTAGAAATAAGAAAGCCTACCAATATAGTTTCCCAATACCACTGATGGGCAATTCAAAGCTAGTAACCAATTGATCACACAGAACTATACTTTTTGTAAGTAAAAGTAAAGAGAAAAGAAAAAGGAAAGAAAGAGAAAATCAAATTCCTTTACCCTTTTAGCACCGGTCTTGTCCTGCGTGCCAGTGTTGATCACATACCTGTATGAGAAGTAGTGGGAATTCAATTCACAATTTAAAACTGAACTTTAGAAGCAGATCCATATTTGTCCAAAGAAGCAGAAAACATACGTATGACTTGTGCCCAGCAACGTTCCTGGTGCTATCTTCTCTTCTTTTTCCTCCAGGACCTTCAAAGAACAGGAACAAAACGATGAGCTCCAGAAAATGTGAAATAGATAACTGAATCAGGAGTGGCACCAGTCAAAAGATATACACACTTGATAGAGAGGTTTCTCAGGTTCCTTCCTTTGCTGCTTCCGGAGGTCAATAACATCAGGGGTTTCAACCCCAGTAGGAGTGCTGAAACCCATTCAACAAGAAAAAAACAAGTCAGAGACTCAGAATCAACCCAAATAGGATATGTAGAAACATTAAGCTCTTGTTTGGTACCCATTATTTCCAAAATACATTTTTTTTCTTTTATTTTCGACCACATTCTTCAATAAAATAATATTACATGCAAACCCAAAGCTTCTAAAAGGGGGGGAAGGGGGGGCTCAAACATGCACTAAATATGTATACACAAACAAACAAAGGAATGTGTAAAAGCTTGAAAATGAGAATTTGATTACTTCTATCAATTGATACAACCAGCCAGCCTTTTTTTAGTGAGAATTTGACATTTATTATCCATATCAAACATTGTTATGAGAAGCACAAGACCCGTTCACCACCTAGGGTTATACTGGGCATTCCATTTCATGCTAGTCCCACATTCATCATTACTAGAAATTCAACCTCGACGAGGAGAAACGTTGAACACAGGCATGAAGGTAAATACTATACCTTGAAAGGCTATCAACAGATTGAATGCCATCTTCCAGTTCCTCTTCCTCAATCTGCTCTTCCTCTTCCTCATCCTCCTCTTCTTCTTCTTCCTCCTCCTCCTCCTCCAAATCACCCCAATGCTTAGTCTTATCAACAGGTTCCTCCTGAAAATCAGGCTCAATATGATGAAGTTGGATAAGTTAAATATTAAGCACAATAGCAGACACATGAACTGGAATCAGAAAGCATAAAAACATTTAGGAAATACTTCATAAAATCATATACTGGTTTTCACCTCATAATTGGGTTGATCTTGTTGCAAAACGCCAAAAACATCTCCGTACAAGGGCCGTCCATACTAGTGGAAGCGAAAAATAAGAGAGAGTAAGCAAAAAATAAATAAATAAGGATAAAAGTGCAAATGAATAACAAGGGAAGAAAGGTAATCCTACTTCATCAACAGGTGGTTTGCCCCAGTCTCCGTGCCCATAGCCAAATTTAGCTCCAGGAGGAATAGGAGCATTAAGCCCCGGAATTTTCAGACTTGGGTAAGAAGGTGGAGGACCATATCTCTTAAATGAAGGAAAATAAAAAATAAACAGCAATTAAACTCATCTCTTTCCCAAGGAAAATGAGGGGTAGGTTTTCAAGAGAGATACAGATCAACCAAGCTGAAGATATAAAATGAGGTAGCTTCTCCAACCTGCATATTGATCAGCCAAGGAGGTGGAGCACCATCGGGCATGCCAAGAGCCTCTTTTAGTTCCTGTGAAAAAGTTCCTGGCTTCATTTCTCGAAGTTTTACCTGCATAATTCAAACAGAAGTTAAAAGCTGAATAAATAACATAGCAATTATTCTCTCCACTGATTTGAGGACCCATTTTTTAAATTTGTCGGGCAAGCCAAATTCATAGCTTCAAATCTAATCAACTCGACGACCAATATTCGGAACCTTGAGCATGTCACTTCTAATTCATTAAACAAAGTTGAAACAACAATCTGAAGGATTGTAAACAGACTAAGCACTGCATGACAAAGTAAGACGTAGAACTTGGAAAAAAATATGACATGATATTCTACTAATCGAAGGATTGTAGAAGGCAAAAGTGATGAATTAACAATCACATATCCTAAAAAATAATTATCATCCACTTACACATTTGTTGGCTTTATCCAAAACATACATTAAAGAACAAACTAAATATTGCAGACAAACATTTCCGGTGAACTAAATACCTCAAATTCCTTCCCTTCATAATACAAATCACCATGTGCCGTCAGTTTTGGTTTAGTCTGATGCTTGAAGAAGGCATCGTGGAGGACCTGTAAAAGATAATGAGAAGTGAAGTGTCAAAAAAATACAAGCATAAAAGAAGAAAGTTAAGTGACTGATGAAGTCCACACTCACACACACACTGATACCAGTTTAGACAAATACAAGTTACCACATAGAGAGAGATTGCAGGGCCATAGAGTTTTGAAATTCAGAACAAAGAAAACCTGATAGTCAATATCCATTTTTCCCATTTTCGGCTGCATCTTTTCACGTTGCTTTTGTTTCAGCTTCTTGCTATCCTCCTTTTCAATGTAAGCCTGCATATTAACACACAGAAGGATTAGTTGCATAGAAAAGAATGAAGCAAAATTCGATAAGTCGGGCAGGAAGAAGAGAGATAATATAAAAGGGATAGAAGAAAGTCCAGTGACTGCAGTGTAACTAGCTTATTGACTTAGCCCCCGTTTGGGCCACCTTTTTGTCTCATTAAAAATTATAACTGTTATCCAACACATCAACATTTAAATTCAAATTTTCTATCTCTTGTGTGCGCCCCAATAACGGTTATATTTTTCATTCTCATTCTACAAAAATGTGGCTCAAACAGGGCCTTATTAAAAGATACTGAGAAGGACGCCGAATATCTGAATGCAGAACATAAATTATGCAACTAAGTCATCAGAGCAACTTTTTAGTATTATTCTTCAAAAGCAAGAAAAAACGAAAGTATCCCCTCTTAGGTTTTGATACTTTGTCTTCTAAAGAGCCTAACCTTAATGAAAATGATGGAGATCAAGATAAGAATAAAGATATAGACAGATTTTAATTAGAATTTTAAAATAGAGTTCGATTTAAAGTATATTTAGTTAGATTAGATAAAATTAGTTTTGATATTTTGATACAATTATAGTTTATCAGAAATTTGTTTCCTTTTAGCTTCTTAGTTTATTTGCTCTATAGATTGAGACACTTATTAGTTTTAATTCACAACCAGATTTTATGAATAAAGATGCCCTCCATTCTTCTCTTCTTTGGCCCCTTTTCTTTTCTTTTCTTATTCTTTAATTGTTATTTATCAAAAATACGTTCCCTCATCAGAAAACCTCCAAGGGAAAAGGAACAAAAAGTATGCTGAAGCAGCTCTACAACACACATGATTGCCTTACGAAAAATGAACCGCACATGCCACCCTAGCCACTTCATCCAAATGTGTAAGCCCTTTTTAGTTAATATGAGCATCACAGGATGAGCACATCACATATCAACTCCCTGCCCTCATACAATACGGAAAAGGTAACAACAAAATCACCAAAAAATTGTTGACAAACCCAAACACTGGGCACATAACCACATGCAATAATTATGCTTCAGCCTGATTAACATAGATTATTGAAGGCAACTTCTAAATCACGTTAGCATGATAGTGACAAAACTACAAAGGGGTAAATTTAGTCTCACTTGTCTAATTTTCTCAATTCCTGTCGCAGCAATAAAATCAGGAAGTTGAAAAGGCATTTTCTCAATACCACGCTTTCCCTGCAAAACGATTTCAGAACCCAATGAGATAAGATGTAGGCAAAAGATTTTACATGCAAATCAAGCAACTATAAGAATCCTAGAGGTGAATTTTTAGTGTGAGAATTCAACTAGTTCAAGCTTTCTCTGAAAAGTAAATAGATCTGAAATTCCAATTAAATTCCTTAGCATCCTGCTAAGCAGAAATTACAGGTTTAGTTTCCAGGTAAGGTACTCTAATATGGCATGTTATTTATTGAAAGTGGTGTTATAAAATGCCTACAACCCAACCCACGCTAGCAAGCCAATTAAAAAGAAAACTCATGCAAGGTTTCCCCTTGCAAAACACCTACATGTCGAGACTCCAGAAGAGGCACTGCTGCTTGCCTGCAAGAACCACATATATACATATAAGACAAGCCTCATTGACTTCACCCTCCCTTATCCTCATCCCTAAAACCCACTTTCTTTTCAACAAATTTTACATAGAACATGTGCATAACGAATAGTAAGCATTCTAGATGTAACCCATTATACAGATATATCATCCGTCGTAACTCACCTGCAAAAACTTCCTTTTCTGACACCAGTGCCGCGGTACCGCAACAGTATTGCGATATGATTTAAGATACACCAATAGCTTAGGGTCTGCAGAAGTGGCATCCCATACCTAGAAACTCAAAATAATTAGATCTCAAAAAACTAGTATAATGACTCAAACCAATAAATGGCAAAAACATAAAAATTGGATCTCGGATATACATCTCAACCAATTGATGGAAAAAAATAAAAAATGATTGGATCTTTGATGTTGCAATTCACCAGAAGACAGCCCGGACAAATAAGAACTACAAATACTTGAACAATACATTGTTGATCTATACCTCAACTACATCAGGCTTTGAACTAATCTGCTTCAGTTCAGCAATCTTCATTCGGCGTTGAAGCTGCAAGAGAATAATGTCATTTTTAGCCCACAAAAAAACTTGACTTAATATATCTCCCACAAAAGTGAGTGTGATTTGCAGCATAACTAGTGTTGAATAGTAAAACCTTTTTCTTTTTATTAGAGACTCCTTTCTCTTTTTGTTGTGTATCCTGCTCCTCCTCTTCTGAATCTGAGTCGGCCTTTTTCTTTGAGGCTGCATCAGGTGCAGTCTCATCCTTTTTATCATTCTCCTGAATAGACTGGAATATTATGATGGAGAAAAGAATAGAGAAAAACAACAAGGAAGGAGACCAAAGGATTAAAAAAAAGGACAAATAAAAGGAATCGTTAGAAAACATATTCTCACCTCAGAACCAGCACTTCCTGTAAAATTGAATTTCTCAAAAACCTTTCTGAATTCCTCATCTAAGTCACCATCTAATTCTGCCTTTTCTGGGACATACTCCACTTCTACTTGCTCCAAAGGCTGTCGTATGAAAAAGAAAACAAACTGACATTAAGATCTACTGATCTGACTTCACATTTTCATGAAGTATTCAACAAGAACTTTCATTTAAGTCAACTTCTCATTTAATGGCTGAATCAGAAACAGGTTTCAACTAAAAAGAAACTAAGAAATTACATCAACATGTTTATCTCAAAAATGATTAGACCAAAAAATGAAAAAAACAAATGAACTAAGAACGGCATAAAATTTATGCAGGATTAGCAACTCAAGTTTCCATTTTTCACCAAAATAAAAGATTCTGTTTCTTGATTACAAACAAGAGAAAAGATATATCATCATCACTTTTGCATTTGATCCCCTTGTACCTGTAATGGGTTAAATACTCCTCCTAAATTACAGAACACCGGAAACAGTTGCATCAGTTGCACTGAAGGAGTATACCGAATCTATCACAAGCATATATATATATATACTTCTTCGGTCCAAAATTTCGAAATTAAAATGAAAATCATAGAGAAACCTTCAGCTTCTCAATGAATTCCCCCTTTCCATTCAAAGATCTACCAATCTTTCTAGCCTCTTACAACATGATTATCAGTTTTGAGCACAACACCTTAAACCATAAAAAGGGGAAGGAAAACGATACAAATCCCTCACTCTGATCATCAGAAGAAGGCATCTTAGCATGAAACAATGTATCGTGGAGATAAAACAGTATTAAGAGATGCTCCACATTGACCTAAGACCTATTGCAAGGCAGTACCATTTATAAGACAGTGTATTTGCTTCAAACTTTTAAGAAGTTAATGCCATTCTCTGCCAGTAAGAAGTGTATAGCTTGGAACTACATAAGTTATCTACAACATATGGTTTTCTATTCAAGATGTTTCCATACCACCAAAAGTAGCTTGAACAATATTCAATTGAACACCATAATTCATTATTTTTGTTATAGTACCTATATACAGCTCAAGTGTCAAAATTATATGGGGAAAATCAAGTAAACAACTCAATAGGTAGACTTAAGAATACTCAGCTTTGTCTACTTGTTAACAAGGAAAACTAAAATTGAACTTCGATAACCACCCATTGTTACACGAACTACATTTATTTTCACCAAACTTCAGCTATGTGAAAATGTCATAAGAGCATATTCCAATGCAAGCAAGCATATTTATGGTCAATAAACTGTGAATCCCTAAACACAGATCTATACCAAAAATTGGAAAATAACATTCCTCGTCCATATTCCACTCAAGTAATTGCTTGACGATTTCACAACCCTAAAATTAACGTCAAGAAATCGGAGTAATACCTTCTGCGGATCGGAGTTCTCTTTGGAGCTGTCATTGGCGATTCCATCCTCGGCTGCAGTGTCGCTGTCATCTCCGGCGGCTGAGGCCTGTGATGCCTTATTGTTCTTCTTCTGCTTCCGGCGTCTCCGCCGCCGCTCATTTTCCCGCGATTTCTTGGCGGCAGTATTGCTAGGGTTTTTGGAATTCAAATCGCCGTTGGCGTACGGCCGGGAATCTCCGGCGTCGTTTGCTACTTCAGCTGGCATATTTATTCTCCTTAATAATTCTTTTTATTTATTTATATTTATATAAAAGAATTACACACCCTCTCGATTTTCCTCTGTTGGAGAGTGAGTTCGGAGGGAGAGAAGGATGTAACGCAGAGGAAACGGGAAAGATATGTAAAGGTACATTTTCACTTTTGGCTTCAAAATATGGCATCAGTAACAAATTGATCTTCAACTTTTAAAACGTTACGAGTTAATCCTCGACTTTTTATTATAATAGTACAGTCAGTCTCAACCTCGTCTTCTCATTTTCTGAGAAATATATCTTTCATGTAGCCCTCATAACTAGAAGTTTTTATCCTTGAAGTTTGATTGTCTAAAAATAATGAAATGTGACAATAAACTCTTTTTAGAGATAGCAGATCGACTTGCTTTATATAATTATAGACAATAAGTTTGGACTATTCGTATAGGCCAGTAATTAAAAATATATTTCTCAAATGTTAAATTACACTCTTTGTCTCCAATCTTTGCTTATTCTTGTATCTTTGTCATCAATTTCTTCTCCTTTTTAGCAATCTTACCCTCAACATTCCATTAGTTAGCACAACTTATTCTCAATAACAATTTACATGCAGATATACGTTAGATAGGCATGTCCATGATACGTGCCTACAATTTTTAAGGTTAAACTGCTTTCACACTTGAGAGCCTGTTTGACAACTGTTTTGGTAGGAATAAAAGATATTTGAATGATGATTTTTAAGAGAATGTATAGTTAAAAAGTAGAGAAAAAATTTTGGTATACGTATAGCATTTTTTTTTTTTTTTTTTTTTT